AGCTAGCTGCAGCTAGCTGCAGCTAGCTGCTCCAGCTAGCTGCTCCAGCTAGCCACGCAGGCTCGCTAGGCGGCTGGCTGTTGGCTTAGTCTCTCCTACCAGCGCCCTGCGCAGACAGCCATACATTTTGAATGCCTTGGAGGCAGCATGCTGCACCTATCCAGCTAGCTGGCTAGCTAGCTAGCTAGCTAGCTAGCTAGGTCACCTGCAGCTAGCCACTGCAACCACCCGTAGGTGCAGAGTAGCCGCTGTTAGTTGTTCGGTTAGCTGCATGAACTGCACTAGGCTGCAGCTAGCTGGCTGTGCGGGGCCAGCTAGCTGTGTGTAGCTAGCTAGCTAGCCAGATAGCTATTCAGCGGAGGTGGAACACTGGCTGCACCGCAGGCATCGAACAAACTTTGCTTTACTAGGCCCCTTGAGGTTCAGGTTTTTGTATTGAGGTGTACGTACACCCCGTCGGGTGTATGAGGCCCCTCTAATAGGCGGGAGCTGTCTTTAGTTCTGCTCTTTTGTCTCTGCTTCGGTGTGGTGTTTGTTTATATTTATACATTACTGTCTCCTGTCTCCTATCTGTCTCCTATCTGTCTCCTGTCTCCTATCTGTCTCCTGCCTCCTATCTGTCTCCTGTCTCCTATCTGTCTCCTGTCTCCTATCTGTCTCCTGTCTCCTATCTGTCTCCTGTCTCTCTCCTGTCTCCTATCTGTCTCCTGTCTCCTGTCTGTCTCATATCTGTCTCCTGTCTCCTATCTGTCTCCTGCCCCTGGAGACAGAAGCCTCGAGCTGTTTGACAGCAGCGAGGAAGAACCGCGGGGTGTACAGACAGCTCAGCATCTACAGGCGCAGCAGCAGCTGCAGGTGTACACACGTCACAGCACCTTTGGGTGTATATACACCTCGATAGGTTTGGGTGTATATACACCTTGATTAGTTTGGGTGTATATACACCTCGATTGGTTTGGGTGGATATACACCTTGCTCGGGTGTATGTGCACCTATTCGGGTGTATATACACCTCAATTAGTTGGGGTGTATATACACCCAAACCAGTTTGTGTCTATATACACCTTTACTGATTTGGGTGTATATACACAGCAACTGCTTCGGGTGTATATACACCTCACTTGGTGTGGGTGTATATACACCTCAATTAGTTGGGGTGTACGTATGTGCACCCCAATCGATTTGGGTGTATATACACCCCAATTAGTTGGGCTGTATATACACCTGAATAGTTAGAGTGTATATACACCTGAACTAGTTGGGGTGTATATACACCTGAACTAGCTGGGGTGTATATACATCTGAATTAGTGGGGTGTATATACACCCGAACTAGCGGGGGTGTATATACACCTGAACTAGCTGGGGTGTATATACACCTGAATAGCTGGGGTGTATATACACCTGA